TCTCCCATAGGTCTCCAGTCATTGCTGCCTCTGTACTATGGCCATATCACACAGACTATGTTGATTGCTTCAAAAAAACAAAAGAGGTAGCCTACAGAATGGGAAAAGATCTATGCCAGGTTTCAATCCAAGAACATACCAAAAAAAAAAAAACCTTAAAAATCTGAACAGTAGAGCAAAGAATTTATTCAATAAATGGGAAAATAATTTGAGCAGACACATCTCAAAAGAAAAATCACAAACACTCAGTAAATGTGTAGAAAGTGCTCAGCATCTTTAGGATGCAGGAAATGCAACTCAAGAACAAATTCCATCTAATAACAACCAGAATGAATATTACATTAACAGACAGCTGCTGATGGAGATGATATATTGATGGTGTGGGTATACATTATTATATTCACCATGGAAACCATTGGGGAAATTCTCACAAAGCTAAAAGTAGAGGTAACTTAAGATCCATCTATCCCACCTCTGGGAATATTCCTAAAATTAATGAAGTATGCATGCATAAGAAATACCTGAGTATTGAACAAGCATATTGTGATGCTGTTTGCAGTAGCCAAGCTATAGAATCCATCTAACATACATCACTAGATAAATAGATTAAGAAAATAGAATGTGCATACCCAATGGAACATTATTCACCCCAAACAAATAATAAAACTGCATCATTTTCAGGAAAATGGATATAGCTAGTGGCTGACATGTTAAGTAAAATAAATCAGATTCAAAAATGCATGTACTCCATGTTTTCTCTCAGACAAAATAAGCAGGATTTAGAACAACAACTTTAAAGTGGTAGAAGGATTACTAGGGACAGGAAATGAAGGAAACGAGGACAGAGGGACAAGGATCATGAGAACACATGTGATAGAGGGATTACTAGGAACAGAGATTGAAGGGAACGAGGAGGGAGGGACATGAATTGTGGGTGCACATGTGGAAGAGTGAATACAAGGTAAGCATGTAACTTGTATGTACAAAAATGTCACATTGAAATACATTAATATTTTTAACTATCACACATTAATAATTACATAAAATATAGTTCATAAAGAAATGCAGTTAACTGAGCCTCTAGACATAGAATATTCTGATAAGCCTCAGCTGTTAAACCAAAGTCATTCTCTTCCCTGGAACTACTGCCAACCAGTGACAGAGAATAGCACACACACAAGCCCTGAATATTTCTGCCCATTATGGGACTCCAATAATACAGCAGGAAACCATTCTCTGCCCAATTTTGCTTCTTCTCTTTCATCTTTACTGTCTTATGAACCATTTAGTGTACTAAGGCCCTTATCCTTTCTTCCCAGAGGACCAAATTGGCATATTCAGTAAACAGCTAGGCATGTCCGTTGGTAACTGGAGCTAGAGATGAGGTGGTACACTCCAATGTTTATGCTAAGTAGTGATCAGAAGACCTGACTCTGGCATCCAGGTTCAAATCCAAGCTCCTCCCCTTCCTATTGTAAAATGATACAAGCTCTATTTATTTCTCAGTGTCTCATCTATTGACTGGGAATATTAACAGTAACTGAAGGTTATGTGGACTAATTCAGCTAAAGTACTTAGCACAGGGGCTGAAGAGAGGGCTCATAAGTTAAATGCATTTGTTGCTTTTAAAGAAGATCCAGGTTCAGTTCCTAGCACCTTAATGGTTGACTCACAACTGCCTGTCATTCTACTTCTTGGGGCTCTGATGCCCTCTTCTGACCTCTGGTCGCACTACACAGACACAGTGCACATACATGTACTCTGGTACATGCACATATACATAAAATAAATAAATGTCAAAGACAGAATAGTCAGCATAGTGTCTGTCCCACATCTGACAGACAGAAGAACATGCTCAACAAATGTGAAAGATCACACAAGTGTACGTCCGTGTGTGCACGTGCAAACACACACACACACACACACACACACACACACATACACACACTAGATCTTTTTCAGAAGCTGCTCACTTCCTCAAAGAATTTCCTATAGAATATTAAGGCAAATGAAGATAATTTAAAACAATTTGAAAGCATCCTTACAATTTGTCTCTCAATTCCATTTCCTGTTACTTGCAGTGCAGCTCCCCTTTCACACAATTCCCCCCTTCTTTGTCCACTGTCATCATTTGTCTCCTCCCATCTTCCCTTCTTACCCACCCCAAGTGACTGTCCCTTCCCCTTTTTAACTTAGCGAGGAGTTCCTCCCCATCCCAACTGTGACCGTTCCTCTACTGGCAAACTTATAGATTGCATCATTTTGAAACCAAGTAGAACAAATGAAAAATAATAAAAGTCTCAGACTGAGCTGAAGGTTTCTGTGCCTCCATAACACTGCTATGCAGAAAAAATCTCTGTCATTTCTGCAGAAGAAATAAAGAAAAATCTTCTCTTCCCAGCTCACCCTTTTGTCCCAGTCCAGGGGAGACAGTCTGTTGGTGTGGTGCTTAGTAAGTGTTTTAAGATTTGAATGTTTCAAGTTTTCAGTTGAAGACGCATGGTCAGTCTACAAGGTATATTTTCATCATACTATACATGGGATCTAAAGATGAACTGTTTAGTAAAGCACTCCCAATTCCCATATGGGGACACGATTGTATAGGAGAACAACATGTTTTTAATCACATACGTGTGGGAGTCCTAGAAATGGGTTTTATAAAATAAAGACTGGGTCTCGCAAGCATCTAGAAGTGAGTGGGAAATCATAACCAGGGACAGATGGCAAATGTGGCGTTCTTTCTTTCCACTATTGAGTACTTACGACATTTCCTTCTAGGCAGCGTTGAGTGCCAGCACATTGTCACATAATGCTATCCAAGCTCAGAAAAATGAATCCTCTTTTGTTACCACAAAACTGACTTCACACAAAACCGCCAACTTCAGAAGTAGAGCAAAAGTATTTTGTAATACAACTGAGTGCATAAATTGATTTTACAGTTCTTAATACATATATATTAATATTTTATAATACATGCAAAATTGCTACTGATTCTTCCTTCAGCTGTCTTGGGCATTTAATTGAAGCTGCCATCAAGATATTTATATTCAAAGGAAAGATTTTTTTCCATGATGGAGAACATAGTCAGGTGCATTTATAATGCTGGAAATAACTAATACCTAAAATGAAAATCAGTTCCATAGAGAGCAATATATGAAGACAACATCGAACGTCTCACACTTGGTTTTAAAGGCTCCTAATACTTGTGCTGTTTCAAGGAACCACCCTATATATTGAAATTCACCATATTACTACTTTCAATAATCATTAATTAGACATGGTTGGTAAAAAAAAATCACCATTAAAAGTCATATAATTAAAAATCACATGTAGTCCTCTAGTGAGTGCAACAGCTAAGCTGTTAAATATTAAATCATGAAAAATAAGAAGCAAAAGTGGTATTCATAGTAACTTTCAGGAATATTAGTGTTTATTGTTGCAACTTCATAAGCAGTGTTACTGAAGTTTACAATCATCTTAAATTCAGATAAAATAAATATCTATATTTTATAGTCAATATCACGAAGAAAAATGATTAGTCAATACAGAATAATGAGGCTATTTACTACTTTGCTTACAGTGTACGAAGAACTACAAGCCAGCATAAACACAAACCTAGACTTCCACTTCCCTGTTTACGATTTAAGAAACCCCCACTTCCAAACACCCATAGCCACTCTGCATTTAGAAATTGCCTCATAAAGATGCGTTTTGTTTAATCTCTTAGAAAACTGCTTTCCTCGGTGAGTTCTGATCTGCTACATTACTTCCTCATCTTTACAGTGAGTCAATACTGGTCTCGAAGGGCAAGAGGACCATGCAAAACAACAAAGATAGGGAATCAAGTTGCTGTTACCTTGTTGAGCAAAGCTCAGGACAAGTTGTTTGTCGGTGGCAATAACAGTCATAATTAGCTCACCAACACAATTAGACGCTCACACACATGGTCTCGAAAACAAGCCTAAAATAAAGTGGTGCCAGCATCTTTCAAGCCTACGGATTTGAAATAGCAATTAAGCCTGCACCTTAAATCATTTGTCTCTCTAACTAGAGGAGCAAGTCCCGAGGATGTAAATCTCACCCAATGAGACAAGGGCTGCCGGGTGCATTATAAATTGCCAAGTAATTTCTTAATTTTAGAATTTAACTCTCCGCACCAGGAAATAAGCAATGTGATTTATGGAGCCCACACACTCATGCCGCTTTCTGGGAGTTCCACAACCACAGGCACACACCCTGGTATTCAGCATACATGCAGTTTTTGCAAGTCCAAATACGTGGCTGGATTCAGCTACAGCAAATCTACTCTGTCTACTTATCACCCGAGCACTAATGGTTAGAGTAGCTAAAATGCCTGCTGAACACTGCAGCGCAATGCCCCCCTGGGCTTATGCCGGAGCACAGCCACGTCTCTTCCCTTAGCGATTGCTGACTTTTAAGAAGGCAGGAGACAGGGGCTGGAAATGTTCTGCAGCCGCCCAGGTAACTCTTGTCTGCAATTCCTCCAAACCCAGAGCCCCCTCCCCCTACATACACACACACACACACACACACACACACACACACACACACGCGCGTTTCATTTCTTTAAAGAAAGCAAGCTTTTAAATAGCTATCTAACACATGCCCTCTGCATGGGTTTAAGAATGCATTTTTCTTGTACTTGCTGCTGGTGTGTAAAGATGTTTCCAGATCTGATTAGGAGACCTGGCTGCTGCGCATAAAAAGTACTGCTTTCAACAAGACTCCTTTAGTGAAATCCGCCTGATCAGACAGACGTATGTGCACATAAATTACCCATATTCTACACACATGCCCGCGTTAACAAGCATGCATGCACACGCACATCAAGACCTGCAATTAATCCCCTGCTCTATAAGCCCCCTTTCACAGGCTTTTGCATGCATGTTATTCTAAAGAGAGATCTTTAGAAAAAAAAATGGTAAGCAGCTGCATCTGATGCACTCGAAAGTGGCACATTAGAGAAGCAAATACGTTACCAGTCGCATTTTGAAGTTTCCAGAGCACCTGCAGGTAACAGGAGACCGAATCAGAGGCTGGCGCTCGGTGTTCCCTCAGAAACACAGAGCTCGACGTGGCTGTGGGGGAATGTGGAGAGAGTGTGAGCTGGAAACCTTTGAGTTGAGCTCGCTGTAAGCATCAGAGAGCCTCAAAGAGGAGAAGGGAAAAGGCAGCCCACAGACAGCGAGCCGGCAAACTTCTGGCTCGTCTCCAACGCAGGAATGAATTCTCTGTAATTGGGAGATGGATAGTTGATGGAAATGAAGAGAAACTTGGATTTCCCAGCGAATTTGCTCAGTCACGCAGAAATGGGCAGGTAACCAGCGAGCTCATTTGAAGCAGTCATTCAGGAAGCAGTACTGAATAAAAACATTAACAGAAATTGTTGTTGGGGGAAAATATTAAAAGGCTACTTCAGCCAGCTTCCCTGGATGCCTTTACAAACTTCAAATGGATCCTTCCACAGCTATTTGGTGCACGTTTTATTAATCCCACTGCAGAGGTAAACTGGAAAATCTAATTCCTTTTATGTAGGAAAAAAAAAAGATTCATTGCTTCTTTTTATATGCACTCTATACATACAAATGCAGGGGTTTACTTAGAGAGCTCTCGTTTCTCCTGAAAAGCCAAGACTGTTTAGCACAGAAAAAATGCTGAAAGGCTTATACACAGCTTTTCACGAAGTAGAGAAGAAACTCAGCACTCGGGAGCTCAGCCGAGGAGTGGAATTTAGACACAGAGTTTGCAGCACACCGAGTATAAAGAAGGGACCCTCACCACCGAGGGGCACACCAGAGATGCAGCTATGCACACGCCCTAAGCGGGCAGGTGGCTCGCACCTATAAATATAGCCACAATTACGGGCAGAAATGTGAGGCTCCCAGACAGGCTAATAATTTCTGAGGAGCGTACCTGAACTTCACCTTGTCTGAAGAACTCGACCCCCGACGGAGAGGAGGGTCAGGAGGCACTGTGTTCTGGCAATCTGTATTCAAATGTAATGAGCAGAGGATGATATTACCATGAGGAATGTTGTCATATTACACTGTGCCTGGGTGGCTTAACTACCCATCCAGCCTTGCAAATGGCCATTTGGCTGGATTCGATAGTGACTATGCTATCGATGTGCGGTGGGAGGGAGCAGGTGGGAGGCTAGTCTTATTTGTTTTTACTGCAGGAGCATCTTTGAGAGGCTCTGCGATAGAATGCCCAGCTGAATGTGGGTTTAATTCTCTCCAAGGCCACACTTACCAGTAATAAATCTATAGTGGAATTAATGGTGACCAATTAAGTTATTTTTTATTTTAACTCCTGAGGTCAAGGGCAGCTTGGTGTGTATGTTTATTGATAAGGGAGGAGTCCATGGCCAAGACTGCTAAAGAAAGCTAGATTCACCTTTAAGTGTGTTCAATAAACACACATTGCCTAGGGGCACTTCTAATCCTCCTCGCAGCCCAGTGCACCTTATTTTCCAGGAGATTTTAATTTCCTTTCGCTACCATTTTCTTCAGCCATTCATTCCACAGATATCTAGTGAGTTAGATGCCCAGTGCTGTACAAAATGGAATGATAGGAAGACCTTCCTTTAGAGTTTGCCACTGTCAGAGTCAACTCTGCAGAGGACACCGGAATTGTTGGTGGAGGTGGCTTGTACATTCCCGGCTGCTCAGACCCGAAATAATTATATAAAACTGTATTAATTAAAACACTGTTTGGCCAATAGCTTAAGCTTATTGCTAGCTTGCTCTTATATCTTGAATTAACCCATCTCCATTAATCTACGCATCACTACGAGGTTGTGGCCTACCAGCAAAGTTTCAGTGAGCTCCTGTGGCAGCTACATGGCTGCTCCTGACTCCGTCTTCTTTCTCCCACCAATCAGTTTAGTCTTCCTGCCTAGCTTTACTCTGTTAAGCTATTGGCCTAAAGCAGCTTCTTTATTAACCAAGGGCAATAAAGCATACTCACAGCATGCAGAGGGAAATCCCATATCACGGAATTACTTGTGAAATGTTGGTGCTCAAAGCCAGCCCTTCCTCCGTCTTGGGGTGACTCTTAGGGTTGGTAAGAGATAAGCAGAGCAGCATGTGTGCATCGAAAGTCTCCCCAAATGATTCTAATGGAGCCTCTCCCACCTGCCACAGAGGTAACTGCAACTGAAGACCACAGGGATAAAACCCACCAGTCATGGAGAGAGGAGCAAAGCCCATAGCATCAAGACTCAATCAGCGGTTACTTGAACTGACCATTCTTTTGTGTCCTTGTGGGTCACCCTACCACGGAGACGTCCCAGACTTAATTAGTTTGACCCACAGCCTGAATCTGCAAAATCCTGAGTAGATTTAGAAGCCAAAACTGAACGCAAAATAAAGCTTAAATCTCATGGTTCGTTTACGCAGCCTCTCTACCCACCCTCCACCCCCTTTTGCCCTGTCAAGCAAGAGCACAGGCTGTAAGTCCATAATTAATTCCTAGAAGTCAAAACATGTCGGAAATCTCCTCCAACAGAGCCAATATATGCCACTTCTGTGTCCACGAGAGGGCAAGCGTGCGGTAAGAACATGGGATGTGTGGCAGAGCTGTACCCGGTTCTAACAACTCATTCTGCTTGGCGACAACCTTGATCCTGAGAAGTGAGGATCCCAACACTCAGAGAACTAGCCTATTCACTTCTCCAAGGGCGCACTGAGGAGTCCACACTATTAACAGTGATTGATCAGTCAACTCCCACCGTCCTTTGCTTCAGCAGCTCCCTCAGCCCCAACTACAGGGAGCATTGGGGGAGTGGCAGATCTTAGAACTTCGGTGGGGCACACAAACGGCAAGAAGTCAAGCTGCTGCAGGACGCCTCCTGTAGATCCTCTCCAGATAAGTGCAAGGGCTTGGGAAGATGGGTTCAATCCTCACAGGTGTGTCTTCCCTGGACCCTCCTGCTAACTGCTGGCGGTAAGAGATCACTCAGGTCGTTCCTCCAAGATGAAGGAAGAGAATTTTGCCATCGAGTCTCAGATGGTCAGACTGCCAACCCCTCCCCTTAAGTCAGACCCCGCCCCACCCCACACACAGCACCCCTGCCGTGAGAATGAGGATAATTCAAAGCAGAGGGTCCCTTCATCCTTGCCAAGGAACATCACTTTATTCACCTGGGAAGACTCCAAACTTTGTAGCACACCACGCCCATCTGCGCTCTATGCGCTACCAAGTAGTTCGTAAATCGGGCAAGGGGCTGGAGATTTAAACACGCAAAGACACACAGACAGAGACACGGGTCATCCTTGGAAACGGGAATGCCCCTTTTATTGTGTCCAGGGGCAGCTTATATAGCGATCCTTAACTGATAGCCATGCCCCAGCCAAACTCACCAAAAACCACTACCCTGCCATCAGGAACTTCTGAGGGTCTTGTGCTCAGAGCAGCTGCAGGCTGTCTCAGAGCAGAGGAAAACAAGTTGTTTACAAGAAATTCAGGATATGAGGGGTTCACAGCTCCCAACAAACCTTGATGTCTTGAAGACAAAGACCATGTGATCGAATGAAACACAAACCTACCTTATGTAATAACACTATTAAAAAATTACGGTTCTCTGACTCCTTTTGCTTTCTTTTAAGAACACTGGGGAATATTGAAACAAAAAGATATAACTAAAAGCAGGAATGTTCAGCACAGATATTAGAGACAGACAGGCCTGTGGTAAAAGACTGGCTTCTCTATGTAGTTGCCTTGTGCCTCGAGGCAAGCCCCAGGCGAGGGCTGCAGCTCAGCTGATCGAGCACTTGCCTGAACAAGCGAAGCCCTGGTGGTCTGCTTACGTGCACTACATCAACCAGAGTGGTGATGTAAGCCTGTAGTTCCGGCATTCAGGAGGCAGAAATGAATGGATCCAAGTTCAAGTAGCAAGCTTGGGGCCAACCCAGCAAGATATGGGAGACCCTGTCTCAAAAATAAATAAGCAATAAAGTTCACGTTTCAAAGAGCATGATACATCCTAAATTACCCAAGAAGGAAATTCCCAATAAGATTCCCACTTGCCTCTGATGCCTATCGGCTGGTGGACTTCTTGAAAGCAGGAACAAAGGTCTGTTCCACATTCCTCATACCCAAGGTAACACAGCACCCTACAGACTTTGCACAAAATTTGGTTTTTGCCTAGTACCATAATCTGGGGTAGGGGACCAAGAATACTCAGCAGGGAAAGTAAGGGTGGGCTATGCCCTCCTGTGGCTCTCAATCTAGTGCCGAGATGAAAGTTAAATAGTGCCATGAATAACTGGAAAAGGTAAATGAATGTGCTAATTAGTTCATGATAATCTTCTTAGGTTTTTGTTCCTAATGACCCAGACAATGTCAAGGACACAAAAGGAAGACAATCTGTGCGTGCTTTGGGTAATTATCTTCAAATCTGGAGACTCAGGCTGACGGGCTGGCCCTCGTTAAGGGGGCCATCTCTCCCAAGCACAATCCCCTGAGCCTCATCCCAGCAGCCCAGGCAACCTTTGATCTGCCTCACAGTCAACTCGCAGCCCACCAACAAACAAAATCCTCAGCTTCCTGACCTCACGGTTTTGCATCTGCGCTTTCTAAAATGCAATAACATGGGCGAGGTTTCTTCCTTTCTTTTCTTTTCAGCTGAGATTTTAATTAAAGTTCCCGGGAACCAGCCAAGGATATTTTCTACAAAGAAGCAATATCTGGTTTTGGAGCCCTAGAACATCTTATGACAGAGATCTTGAATGACAGACAGTGACATGGGCTGTGCCCTTCAGTGTGTGTGTGTGTGTGTGTGTGTGTGTGTGCGCGCACTCATACACATTCTCCTATGTGTGTTCAGCGCTCATCCTGCCTAATGAGGACAGAGACAGGGAGACAAATGCACTCCACTTACTTAAGCCATTCAGATGTTTAAGACAGGCACTTAATGGAACAACAGAAGGGCCAGTCTCTCAAAAGGGGGAGATTACCTTTTGTTCTCCCTGATGGTTCTCTCTGATTTAAAAGGCCGGGCTCTCAGACTTGCAGAAAGCAGCACTGGAGAAGAACGCCCGCCAGTGCTGCTTGGCAGATGTCAGCCA